GCTGCTTCTTGCTCTGGTTGAGGGCTGCTGGGAGCAGGGGGCGGGGCTTGTTGCATGTGCCCGCCCCCTGGGCTCTTTACTGCCGGAGCTCCGCTCCTGTGCGCTCCTGCAGGAAATGACACCTGACTGGGACCATTTGGGTCCCAATCAAACTGGTTTATGGGTCCACCCCTTTTCCATCCCTGGCCTCATTGACCTGATTGTGTTTGGAGCAAGTGGGCTTGCACCTGAATTTCCAGGCATGCCGGGGCAGATGAGGATTAGGACCGTGGCGTGCGGGGAGTATTTTATATATTCACATACACAGCAAAACTCATAAGAACATAAGAGACGCCAATGTTGGATCAGGCCAAAGGCCCATCCAGTCCAACACTCTGTATCACACAGTGGCCAGAAATACCAGGTGCCATCAGGAGGTCCACCAGTGGGGCCAGGACATTAGAAGCCCTCCCACTTTTGACCCCCCCCCAAGCACCAAGAAGACAGAGCATCCCTTGCCCCAGAGCCCCTATCTATACCTTGTGGCTAAGAGCCACTGATGGACCTCTGCTCCATAGGCTTATCCAATTCCCTTTTGAAACTCTGAGCTCTTCAAGGAAGAGGCAAACCTCTCTCTTTCTCAATTTTGTATTTATTTGTTTACTTTGTTTGTATCCCACTTCCCTCCCCAGTGGGGACGCAAAGTGGTTGGTAACATTCTCTCCTTCTCCATTTGATGAGAGCCAGTTTGGTGTAGTGGTTAAGAGCGGTGGGACTCTGATCTGGGAGAACCGGGTTTGATTCCCCACTCCTCCACATGCAGCCAGCTGGGTGACCTTGGGTCAGTCACCAGTTCTTTCGGTGCTGTTCTCTCAAGGGCCGTTCTCGAGAGAGGTCTCTCAGCCCCACCGACCTCCCAGGGTGTCTGTTGTGGGGAGGGGAAGGGAAAGGAGTTTGTAAACTGCTCTGAGACTCCGGTTGAAGGGCGGGGTATAAATCCAATCTCCTCCTCCTCCTCCTCCACCAGGGCGCCCGCTGACACCTTTCCTGGGACCTGGCAAGTGTTTTTACAAAGTGGGTGGGATTGGGTGGGGCTTTAGCCCAGCGCAGCATCTGATTCGCCGCTGGAGATCTGGGCCGGCAGTGCAGATTAAAATAATGTTATTCCAGTGGCAACTGGCGCCACAGTGTTGGTTTTATTCTCTCTCTCACTCCTCTTTCCCAGGGTATTTAAAAAGTCCACACAGACACCCTTTCTGCCCTGCCTTCGGGCTTCCTCTCAGTGTGTGTGTGGCTCCGCCTGCAACGGCAGCCATTTTGTGTCAGAATCCCAAAGGTGTCCACATGTTCAAAAAGGCTGGGGAGTGGAGACCCCCCCCCAATACGTCATGCTCTTTTGAGCCCAAAGGTATTTCTGTATCTCTACAACTGCTGAGTTGAATTCAGCCGAGAGGCTGTGGTTTCCCTCTAGCAATAGCTGAGCCAGAATTTGAGCCTGGATTTCTTGGGTACAACTCCAACATGCCAGTTTGGTGTCGTGGTTAAGTTCGCGGACTCTGATCTGGGAGAACCGGGTTTGATTCCCCCACTCCTCCACTTGCACCTGCTGGGTGACCTTGGGCAAGCCACAGTTCTGGCAGAGCTGTTCTCTAAAAAGAGCAGTCTCTATCAAGAGCTCTCTCAGCCCCGCCTACCTTTAGCTTGGAGAAACGACAACTGAGGGGTGACATGATTGGGGTTTATAAGGATTATGCATGGGAAAGAGCAGGTTGAGAAAGAGGTACTTTTCTCCCTTTCTCACAATACAAGAACTCCTTGTGGGCACTCCATAAAACTGCTGAGTGGTCGGGTTAGAACGGATAAGAGGAAGTACTTCTTCACCCAAAGAGTGATTCACACGTGGGATTCACTGCCACAGGAAGTGGTGGCGGCGACAAGCATGGACGGCTTCAAAAGGGAATTAGATAAGCATATGGAGCAGAGGTCCATCAGTAGCTATTAGCCACAAGGTATAGATAGGGACTCTGGGGCAAGTGATGCTCTGTCATCTTGGTGCTTGGGGGGGGCAGTCCTCAAAAGAGCTCTCTCAGCCCCACCTACCTCCCAGGGTGTCTGTTGTGGGGAGGGAAAGGGGAAGGAGTTTGTAAACCGCTCTGAGACTCCCTTGGGTAGTGAAGGGTGGAGTATCAATTCAATCTCTTCTTCTTCTCCTTCTCTTCTAATTACTATACCACACTGCTTCTCAAACGGGGCTCTCTTTCTTCCTCCCAGGTACAAGCTGGTGGAACTGGTGTGCTACATAATCATGGGCTTTTTCCCAGCAGTGGTCATTCTTTCCATGGTAAGCGATCTGGTCCAAATGCTTAAGGGAAATTAATACATTGAGGACTGATCTGGAGATACCTGCATTTGCATCACTAAGGGGGAGGCCGTCTGGGGAACCAAACGTCATGTCCTGGGTCAGAGCAGACCCAGCGGAGGCCAAGGGCACGAGCAGGGGTCATTTCGTAGAAAAAGAGGTGCGGGAGCTCATTAGCATAACTCATTAGCATAACTTATTTGCATATGCCACGCCCCCTGACATCACCGGAAGTGTGCCAGAAGGCAACACCCACCGCTCAGGCTCCACTGGACTGTTTGGGATTGCTAGCCATTGGGGGGTGGGACGTGCAGATCTGTCCTCGCAGAGGAGGGAGAGCTTGTACCTGAATAAAACTTGGTCTTAAAGGTGCCACTGGACTGTTTGGGATTGCTAGCTATTGGGGGGGGGGGGGGAACATGCAGATCTGTCCTCGCCAGGGCTTTTTTTTGTAGAAAAAGCCCAGCAGGAACTCATTAGCATAATAGGCCACACCCCTGACAGCACAGCTCATTCACATATTAGGCCACACCCCCATGTTACCAGAAGTGTGGTCATCCAGCCACACCCACCTTTTGCTTCTTATTCTCTTTACCTTGTTTGTTGTCAAAACCCAGGGCTTTTTTGGAGCAGGAACCCCTTTGCATGTTAGGCCACACACCCCTAATTGTAGCCAATCCGAATGAGTTCCTGTTGTTGTACTCCCTTTAGAGTTCAATCATGCGTCTTCCCTCCCCTCTCCCGGAGGCTCCCGGAAGTGGCCACCCTACCCAATGCAGCTGGTGGCATGCCAGCATTCAACATCACTTCTGGCAAAAACCGGAAGTGATGTCATGATTTGGGGGGGGGGGACACTCTAGAATTTGCCAAAAGCTCAAGTGGTTAAGACACTGAACTGCCGGCTGTGAAAGGCCGGTAGTTCAGCTGTTCGAGACCCGAGTGTGCCGCATGACGGGGTGAGCTCCCGTCCCTAGTTCCAGCTCCTGCCAACCTAGCAGTTCGAAAGCAAGACATTGCAAGTAGATAAATAGGTACCACTTCGGTGGGAAGGGAACAGCGTTCCGGCTCCTGCCAGCCTAGCAGTTCGAAAGCAAGAAATTGCGAGTAGATAAATAGGTTCCACTTCGGTGGGGAGGTAAACAGCGTTCCGTGCGCCTTGGTGTTTAGTCATGCCGGCCACATGACCACGGAAACGTCTTTGGACAGCGCTGGCTCTTCGGCTTTGAAATGGAGATGAGCAATGCCCCTAGAGTCGGATTCGACTAGCTTTTGAGCAAGGGAAACCTTTACCTTTTACCTACGGTTTAACTCATATCCTCCCAGGGGTACTTGGCAGCAGCCGGGCATCCTCTGCCTGTTCTCAAAATTCCAAAAATGCCCACAGGCTCAACAACGTCAAGGTTCCCTGATGTTGGGGGGGGGACAGAGGGGGCGCACTTACCCCTTTTCCCGTCACCGCTTCTCCCCAACTGCTTTTCTCCCACCTGTCCATCTTGCGGTATTCACCTGAGGTGAAAAAAAGTGGGGTTGGCGATCCTGGCTACTTCCCGCCTAACCTTTCTCACTGACTTGCTTGTGTTTCTGTTTCCGGACACCAGCCCAACACCGACGGCCTCTTGGAGCTGATGGCCGGCGGCGTTTTCTACTGCCTGGGCACTGTGTTCTTCAAGAGTGACGGACGCATCCCCTTCGCTCACGCCATCTGGCACCTGTTTGTGGCAATCGGAGCTGGTATCCACTATTACGCCATTTGGAGGTACCTCTATCGGCCGGACGCTCTCGAGGGTAAAGCGTCCCGGTAGACAAATGCCTTAAGGATTCAAAAATACGGGGGCTTTGGATGACAAAGTCTCGTCTCCTCGTTCATGCTGGAAGGCCGTTCCCGCTCCGCAGAGACCTCGGATGGAGAGACGTTAGTCTTACGTGGCCTATCTTGCACGGGCAAAACAAACTGTGAAGGCTCGGTTTGGGGATTTTTTTTTATAGACTAAAGAACCACAGCAGTGTTTGTTTTTAGGCAAGGGTTTTGCAATGGACAACCGACAGGCATTAATGACGAAAGGGGAATAACGGACGACCTTCTTCTGGCGAGGCTCGGGGTATGGCGTTGTTCTCGGGGTCCTACGAATGAATCGGTGCAGGCACGGAAAACCATCTTTGTTCTGGAAGCAACACCTATTTGACAACAGTCCTCGGGGCTGGACTGCCGGACAACAACACAGGAGGCGGATGAAAGAGTACCGTTTCACACTTGGCCACTGATACAACTGATACCATTCTTCCATCAATCGTGTCCTTCCCTTCCAAGTCCCTCCCGCCTCTCTCGTGATACCATTGGCTGAGGTTGCTCTGAGGTCACAGAGATGCTGTGTAGGTTCCTTCCGTCTGCCGCTGGTTGAGTTCCAAATCCAGACGTTCTCTAAGTTAGCCTTCCCCCCCAACATGCTTGTGTTCTGGCAGTACTGTTGTGTAATGCAGAGGATTCAATTGTCTGAGCCAGCCCCCTTGAGTGGTCTGAAATGGTTCATCCCAGACACAGGTTGACTTACTCCCCTGCGGCGTGTGAGTATTAGGCTTAAATTTCCCCCAGAAAAATCCAATTCTAGACCACCTGGTTGCAATGCAAAATCAGAAATGCCATGAGATGTTTCTGTAGAACAGCGCCGATCTAGGTAGGACTTACCTTGCAAAGATTAACACGGAGAGGCTTAGGGTTTAGATCTGTAGATGTCACTGGCGCCAGTAGCGTGTCATTCATTTCTACCAGCCAAGGTTAGGGCCGGGTTAAATCAGAGAGCTTCTCAGAGCTGTTGCCACCACCCCCGCCCCTATATTTTACACACCACTGCTGTTCCGTTCACAAGACCATTCCATATAGATGTAATACAAAAAATGTTGGCTCAGCAAAGGGGGGAGGGGAAGCTGACATGATGCACTTCAATGCACTTTAGTGCTGTTCACAGAATTGTAACGCACTTTGAACCAAGCCATGAACACTACAGGGTAATATGGGATCCACTCATGGAATCTGGAAGGGACCTGTGCCCCCCCCCGCTCCCCAATTACATAAAATGGAGATCATTCCAGGTCCATCCCAGATGAATTAAGACAGCGGTATTCCCAATCTTAGTCAGAGTTGAAAGGACATCGCAACTTGGACTTGAAATGGAATAAAATGGCAACTTTCTTTTTTTAAAACAAACAAACCTCAGTCAGCGAAATGCGGATAAGGGAAAAACACTGAGTTGGTTTCGTGAGGAAAATGGATCCGATTATTATCGCCCTCATTGGCGATTCCAACAAAGCCTTACATGTTACAGAAACTTGAATCGAACCCAGAACCCTCCAACTTAAGAGAGCTCTGGGAATCCTTCTGTATCTTTCTCCTGGAGCCACTGTTCCGTGGCCCGCTTCGTACATTCCATGTAGACAGGTGCTTGGGACGTGGTAACGCCGATTTCTTTGGCACAGCGGTGCACTCCGATCATGTCTTTATGCTCCATCCCGGCTGTAATTCCAAAAAAAGAAAAAGAAAAACACAAGATCCCTGTCCCAAGAGAGCGGGCCGCCTACACCTTTCTCCAGACAACAGGAAAGGGTCGGTCTTCTTTTGAACAGGAAAAGGGGCCGGTTCAAATGTTTGCACAGCAGTAGGACGTACCAAAAATAATTTTCTGGGCGGCTACACCCCAGTCCTGGACTCTGATTCCCCACTGGGGAGGAGAGTGGGGTATAAATGGAATTAAATCCCTCCCCACCCAATGCTCCCTCTAAGCTGTGGAGCCTTGTGAGCAAACGTTCTACTTTATGAGCTACTGGCATGAAAGTTGTGAGCGTGCGATTTGGCTGCTGCATAAATTGGTTTGCTCTGGAGCCAGGGGTCATTTCGTAGAAAAAGAGGTGCAGGGGCTCATTAGCATAACTCATTAGCATAACTTATTTGCATATGCCACATCCCCTGACATCACCGGAAGTGTGTCAGAAGGCAACACCCACCGCTCAGGCTCCACTGGACTGTTTTGGATTGCTAGCTATGGAGGGGGGAGGGGAACGTGCAGATCTGCCCTCACAGAGGAGGGAGAGCTTGTACCTGAATAAAACCTGGTCTTAAAGGTGCCAATGGACTGTTTTGGACCTGTTGGCTCTGCAATTTACCTGGCTGCTTCTTGCTCTGACTGGGGGCTGCTGGGAGCAGGGGGTGGGGCTTGTTGCATGTGCCCGCCCCCTGGGCTCTTTACTGCCGGAGCTCTGCTCCTGTGCGCTCCAGCAGGAAATGACCCCTGTCTGGAGCCATCCTTCCTGAGCAAAAACAAAAATCTGCGAGCCGGAGGCTAAAAAACTATGAACTAGCTCACACTAACTCAGCTTAGAGGGAACACTGCCCCCAACCAATTGTTGAAAAGAGCAAGAGTCCGGTAGCACCTTAAAGACTAAAAAACTATGTGGCAGGGGATGGGCTTTCGTGAGTCACCGCTCGCTTCCTCGGATACAGCTAGAACGGGAGTCCTTCTGCCCTATTTATCGGAGAGCGGAGTGATCTCTGATGCCGAATGGCATCAGCGGGCCAATGAAAACAGCAGGCGAATGACAATAGCAGGCGTGATTGGACTTAGGTGAGATATGCAGAGGGGTCGTAGGCAGTGTTCCCTCTAAGCTGAGTTAGTGTGAGCCAGCTCACAGTTTTTTAGCCTCCGGCTCACACGTTTTTGTCTCAGCTCAGGAAGGATGGGGCTCCTGAGCAACCTAATTTATGCAGCAGCCAAATGGCTCGCTCACAGCTTTAATGCCAGGAGCTCACCAAGTAGAATTTTTGCTCACAAGACTCCACAGTTTAGAGGGAACATTGGTTCGTAGGCGTGGGGAAATCAGCAATTGTGAAATCTTTAACGTGCGCCCCAGGAGGAATGATGAGGTCGAAGAGGTGAGGCAGATAGTTCCGTGGATGGGCACCTACTTTGCCCATCTAAGACTCCGGGTCCAGAAGACCCCAATCCAGGCAAGCCCTGTATTGAAAGATGTCTCTAGTGATGCCAGGAGCCTCGCGGGTCAGGTTGGGATGGTGAAGCACTTTGCAAACTCGACGGGAGCTTTTGCAGCCACCTAGTTCCCCATGCGCGACCGCCTGAATAGCCCAGACAGGCCTGAGCCGATCAGAGCTCAGAAGCTAAGCAGGATCAGTTGGGGTCAGCGCCCGAATGGGAGACCACCGAGGGAGATTAGGGTCGCCACGCAGAGGAAGGCGAGGGCAAGCCGCCTCTGCTAATCTCTCACCTCGAAGACCCCACGAGAGGTGGCCACTCGACGGCGCTTGACTATTCCGTTTGTAAGGCGGCTTCCTTTCCAGCTAGCAAAACCTGGGGAAGGGTCGACCCGGCAGCTTAAATCCTGGAGGCAAATGAACAGAGAGGTCCGGTTGTACCCGTGGTGCAGGGCCTGTTCTCCGAGTAAACCACCAAAGCGCTGGTTTGAGGTGGCACGCTGAAGAGGGTGTCAAACGTCTACTAGGGATCGGCTCACTTGTAGTCTCTCTTGGGGTAGTCTCTTTCCTAGCTTGGACCCGGACTGTTATGTCCCTGGGAGTAGGTAAGGGTACCTTACCTGAGGTGTCAACATTCCTTGCGCCGGCCCTGCAGAACAAAGGAGTCCAACCTTAGAAAGTGGGAGGGGCCGGGTGAGGCTTTTGTCCAGCAAGGCTTCCGATTGGTCGTTGGAAACTTGATTGGCTGTGCAGATTTTTTAATTTATTTATTTTTAAAGTTGCTTCGGTAGCAGTTGCCACCGCAGCACAGGGATCGTCGCCGCGCGGCCGAATAAAAACGGTGGCAGGCCCCGCCTCCCGTGGCAGCCATTTTGAGGCTGCGCCCGCCACACTAGGTTGGGATTCCAAAGGCGCTGGCGAGCTCCCAAAGGTTGGGGACTCCTGTTGGAGGATATTCCGCGTATCATCCGAGTCAGAGTGGCGCCTTTCTCAAGCAGTTGACTTCAGTGAAACTCCACATAGGATCGCACCATTACGAATACTCTGAAATGAATACTTCTGGTCTATGCTTGAGGGGTTTGGAGATCCAAGGGCTCTCGATGATGATCTTTGCCTAGCTCCCTGCAGTCTCCCAGACTTCAGCTGTTGGCGACGGATCCCCCTAGTCCAGCGATGGCGAACCTTTTAGAGACCGCGTGCCCAAACTGCGACCCAAACCCCACTTATTGATCGCAAAGTGCCAACACGGCAATTGAACCTGAATACTGAGGTTTTACTTTAGAAAAAACAACCCATACATTAACTTAAGACGATCCAAACAGAGTAAGGAAAGCAATCCCAAAGGCTTTCATTTACTTAAAATTATTTGGCAGAGAATTCGACACTTTAATGACGGTCTGGGCCTGGCTGGGGCGATGGCACGCGTGCCCGCAGAGAGGGCTCTGAGTGCTACCTCTGGCACCCGTCCCATAGGTTCGCCACCACTGCCCTAGTCTATGATGTTGTTCCCGACGCCGTGCTAAAAAGGACAGAGGAAAACAACGAAGGCCTTTTTGAAATCAGACTGTGACCAATAAACAGAACTCCACTCCTTCAGCACTCCAATGCAGCTGTCCTGAAGGCAGGGGGTGAAAAGAAAGGTGTGTGTGTGTGTGTGTGTTAGATTATGGACATTTCTGGTGTTGTGGAGGTTTTCCACCATCTGTCTGTTCTGTCCAGGTTGGCTTTTTCTTCACTGTGCATCTTTAGTACGGCTGGATCGGAGTGTAAAAGGAATGGAGTTTGCTCTGGCCCTGTACTCCTACCTAAGACTTTTTTTAAAAA